ATCTATCTCTTTTTGGATGTGTTTCACTTGCTCATATCTTCTCCCGCTCAGCAGGTTGCCTTTTTCTTTTGTTGATGGTTTCCCTTGCTCTGTAAAAGCTTTTCAGTTTGATGACCTCCCATTTGTTTATTTTTGCTTTTGTTGCTCTTGCCTGAGGAGACATGTCAAAAAAACTATTGCTAAAGCTATGTCAAAGAGCGTCCTGGCTACGTCTTCTTCTAGGAGCTTTATGGTTTAAGGTCTAACAATTTCGTCTTTAATCTTCTGTTGTTGTTGTTGAGTTTTGAATGTTGTGTAAGAAAGGGGTCCAGTTTTCCCATAACCATTTATTGAAGAGACAGCATTTTCCATGGTGGATGTTCTTGGCTCCTTTGTCGTAGACTAATAGGCCATATGAGCGCAGGTTGATTTCTGACAGAGCATCCCCAACCGTACCCTCCGTAAAGGCTGGGGTGAAGTGAGAAGACCCGGCGACTTCAGTGCCCGTCCACAGCTGCTGGCACCCCAAGTCTGGATTAGGTACGTCATTGATGCTAGCCACAATGCACTGGGGCAGGGATGGTCATCCCCACCTGGCACAAGTTCCCCAGGGCGGGAGGCGATGGGCTCACTCCAGCAGCCAACCCAGGTCGATCCTGCCATCCACAGTCCCTCAATTAGCCAATCACGAAGGTTTTCACTGTTGATGTTACATCCCCTCCATGCCCCGTGCCAGGCTGGCTGTGGAGAGGGGGAGGTGAGGAGGAATCGCATGGCCAGTCCCTGCCCTTGAGAGTTGAGTCATTAAGCAGAGAGGAGATCTGACACCCTTAGATGTGGTGGCGAGTGCGTCACGGATCGCCTGTGAGGCTGCGTTGCTAGGAGATGAGAGGAGTGACGAGGATCAGGGTAGATGAAGTGGACATGGCAGGGGAGGGGACAGGGCACTCTGGGTCCTTGCTGTGCCAGTCCCAACTGCAGAATTACCCACAGACTGCAAGAGGGCACCCGGAGGATGGATGGGCGGCTGTAAATGAGGATATCAGCAGTGCCACCCCCTCCCCACCTCAACGTCTGTGTCCCCAACCTGCCTATTGGGTGTTGGTGGTCTGGGGGTCACTTCTGAGACAGCATACTCTCCCCAGTTACAGAGTAGGAGCCAGAATCCTGTGATGTGCAGAGATGTCCCGCACGTCAAATCCTAGACCAGAGACCGAGCCATAGGAACCAACAGGCCAGAGAGTACTGGATGGGAGTTGGCTTAAATGCAGTGGCCAAATAACAAATCTGAATGTACCTGTGGCAAACAATGATATTGAACCATTCATTCAAACACCTTCCCACAAAGGGAAGTCCTGGGCCTCCTGGTTTCATCAGTGAAATCTATCAAATGTTTCAAGAAGAAATAGCACCCATCCTTCACAGATTCTTCCTGAAGAGACAGGAGGGAGGAGGGAACATTTCCTAATTCATCCTATAAGCACAGTATTAGCCCAGTACCAAAGCCAGACTTGACATCACCAGAAAGCTACAGACCCATATCTATCATGAATAGCGATGCATACACCCTCAACACAGTATCCGCAAACCAAATCGAGAAACATTTTGCAAAGGGCTGTGCGAGATTTTTCCCTGGATTGCAGTATTGGACCAACACTCAACTTCAGTTATGGGAAACAGCGTATGGATTATAAGGAAGGACGGAAACCACCTGTCATCTTGACAGATAAAGAAAAAGCATTTGACACAGTGCAAGACCCGTTGAAAAAAGCCTGTAATAAGCGACGGATTTTTTTTTTTTTTCCTGCGCTTGCGCCGGTTGGCTGCTTGCAGGCGCCGAGGAAAATGCTCAGATACATATTAAGCAAACTGAAAAAGTAACAACAAAGAGAAAATATTAAGCGGGTCAAGGGAAAAGTAGCAAATAACAGAAGAGGGCATCCCCAGAAGATTATCAGCTGATTTCTCAGCAGAGACTCTGCAGGCCAGAAGGGAGTGGCATGATATATTTAAAGTGGAGAAAGGGAAAAACCTACCGCCAAAAATACTCGACCAAGCAAGGCGCTTCTTTCAGGTTCAACAGAGGAATCAAAAGACAAGCAAGGGCTCAGAGAATTCAACAGGACCCCACCAGCTTTACAATAAAGACTAATGTAACAGCTCTAGGCAGAAACAAAAAGAAAGACCAATGGAACACAATAGGAAGCCCAGAGGTAGATCCATGCACCTATGGGGCACCTCATCTATACCCAAGGAGGTAAGAATATACAATGCAGAAAAGACACCATCTTCAATAAGTGGTACTGTGAAAATTAGAGAGTAACATGTAAGAGAATGAAATTAGAACACTTACTAACACCACAGGGGGAAAAAAAAAAACCTCAAAATGAATTAAAGACCAAATGTAAGAACAGATACTATAAAACTCTTAGAGGAAAACATCGGCAGAACACACTAACAAAGATTTTAGCAATGTCCTCTTTTGATTAATGGAAATAAAATAAAAAAATAAAGAAATGGGACCTCATTATACTTACAGTATTTTATGCAGCAAGTTCAGTTCAGTTCAGTTGCTTAGTCGAGTCTGACTTTTACACAGCAAAGGAAACTGTAAACAAGGTGAAAAGAGAACCCTCAGAATGGCAGAAAACAAATTCAAATGAAGCAACTGAAAAAGAATTAATCTTAAAGATATACAAGCATTTCATGCAGCTCAATATCAGAAATATAAACAACCCAATCAAGAAATGGGCAGAAGACCTAAAACAGACATTTTTCCAAAGAAGACATACAGATGGCCAACAAATACATGAAAAGATGTGCAACATTGCTGTTTATTAGTGAAATGCAATTCAAAAGTACAACGAGTACAGTCTTGTCAGAATGGCCACCATCAACAAATCTACAAAACATAAATGCCGAAGAGGATGTGGAGAAAGGGAATCCTCTTGCACTGTTGGTGGGAATGTAAATTGGTACATACACTATGGAGCACATTGTTTGTCCTCCCTGTGTTTGTATTTTTTTCTGCAGTTTTTTCTTATAGTTTATTTCTAAGCCCACAGCATTGTGATCAGAAAAGACTCTTGACATGATTTCCGTTTTCTTAAATTTATGTGGCTTGATATGTGACTCAAGATAAGATCTATAAAGAATGTTCTATGTGCACATGAGAAGAAAGTGTATTCTGCTGCTTTTGGATGGAATGGCCTAGAAATAGCAACTAAGTACATCTGGTGTAATGTGTCATTTTGGGGCTGTGCTTCCTTCTTGATTTTCTGTCTGGATGAGCTCTTTGTGGATGCGAGTGGAGTGCTAAAGTCCCCCACTATTATTGTGTTGCTGATGTTTTCTCCTTTTATGGCTGTTTACATATTGAGGTGCTCCTATGTTGGGTGCATATTTACTTACAATTGTTGTGTCTTCTTCTTGGAATGATCCATTGATCATTATGTGGTGTCCTTGAATCTTGCAACAGTCTTTAAAGTCTATTTTGTCTGATGTGAGTATCGCTACTCCAGGTTTCTTTGGATTTCCATTTGCATTGAGTATCTTTTTCCATCCCTTCACTTTCAGTCTGTATGTGTACCTGGATTTGAAAGTGGGTCTCTTGTAGACAGTATTATGTGTGCTGGGCTGTGCTTTGTCACTCAGTCGTGTCTGCCTCTTTGCGACCCCATTGACTGCGCCCCACCAGGCTCCTCTGTCTATGGGGGTTCTCCAGGTAAGAATACTGAAGTGGCTTGCCACGCCCTCTTCCAGGTCATCTTCCCAACCCAGGGATCGAATCCAGGTCTCCTGCATTGCAGGCAGATTCTTCACAGACTGAGCCGCCAGGGAAGCCCAAGAATACCGTAATGGGTAGCCTATCCCGTCTCCAGGGGCTCTTCCCAATGCAGAAATCAAACTGGGGTCTCATGCATTGTAGGCAGATCCTTTACCAGCTGAGCTACCAGGGAAGCCCAGGCAGTATTATACATGGGTCTTCATTTTTTTTAAAATTGTTATCTTTTTTTTTTTCGGATGCAGCATTTCATCCATTTACATTTAAGTTAATTACTGACATGTGTGTCCTTATTGCCATTTAAAAAATTGTTTTGGGTTTGTTTCAAAGGTGTTTGTTCTAAACTTCCTTTTGTGACTTGATGACTATCTTTAGTGTTGTGAATGGATCCCTTTTTTCTTTTTTGTGTCTACATCTATTGTAGATGTTTGGTTATCATGATTTTTTTTGTTCTAGCTGTCTATACACACACCACATAGGTGCGTGTGTGTGTGTGTGTGTGTGTGTCTCCAAGGTGGTTCAGTGCTAAAGAATCCCTCTGCCAATGCAGGAGATGCAGAAGATTTTGGTTTGATTCCTGGGTTGGGAAGATTCCCTGGAGGAGGAAGTGGAAACCACTCCAGTATTATTGTTTGGAAAAGTTCCATGGACAGAGGAGCCTGGAGAGTCCATGGAGTTGCAAAGAGTCAGACATGCCTGAGTAAAAGAGTATATATATACATGTATATATACTTGTTTAACTTTACTGGTCTCTTAATTTCAAATGCATTTTCAATATCCTGCATTTGTACTCCCATCCTCTCATAACTGCTGGTTTTGATATCATATTTGTGTGTGGATGAGTTTCCATGTTTACTGTGTGTTTGTCTTTACTGGTGAGCTTTCCCATTCATAATTCTCTTGACTTTAGTCATGGCATTTTGTTTCTGCCTACAGCTATTACATTAGTCTTTGCTGTAAAGCTGGTGTGGTCCTGTTGAATTCTCTGAGCCTTTGCTTGTCTTTTGATTGCTCTGTTGAACCTGAAAGAAGCGCCTTGCTTCGTAGAGTATTTTTGGCTGTAGGTTTTTCCTTTTCTCCACTTTAAATATATCATGCCACTCCCTTCTGGCCTGCAGAGTCTCTGCTGAGAAATCAGCTGATAATCTTCTGGGGATGCCCTCTTCTGTTATTTGCTACTTTTCCCTTGACCCGCTTAATATTTTCTCTTTGTTGTTACTTTTTCAGTTTGCTTAATATGTATCTGAGCGTTTTCCTCAGCACCTCGAAGCAGCCAACCGGCGCAAGCGCAGGAAAAAAAAAAAAAAAAAAAAAATCCGTCGCTTATTACAGGCTTTTTTCCACCCCGAAGGGCGGGGGAGGAACGGGCAAGCGGCTCCGCGGAGCAACACTGCCCCCTGCAGACCACAGAAACCAAAATGCCAGCAAGCCCGGAAGAAAATCGATCCTTCCTGCACGGTTTTCGGGCAGAGGACTGGCCAATGTAGTTGGGAAACTTCTGGGGGATGCCCCTGAGGACCAGAGAAAGAAAGGGAACCTCTGGAAGGGGCCCGGGCAAACCACCCCTGGACCGCGCGAGTTCCGCTCGACCCGCCCACAGAACCACAGCGAGGCGGGCAAGAAGTCAGGGCGTCCAGGAAGCTCTGGAGTTGCTGAGGGCTGGTTCTGGGCCTGCCCCGGGGAGCAGTGAGGTCAGTGCCAGACTCCCAGCCTGCGTCCGCTGGCAGATTTCTCCCCGAAACTGTTTGGAACTCTCCACTGAGGGACCTGATCCGTGATGTCCCGGTCTTGTCCAACCTGGCCCCAACAAGATGGTTATTTTGTGTCACTACCCTGCCCTCTTCTCTGTCAGTCGACTCTGGATTGAAGTCCCTTCCTGACCCACCTTGCAGTGAGCTGAGCAACTTGTACTCCTTAACAGCTGATTACTTCCAGGTGCTTTGCATTCTAAATGTGTTATCATGTCATAATCTTGATAGAGTGGATGAGTCGTTTTCTATGCAGTTTCCCTTCCCGCCCCCTTTCATTTAGTATCTCATTATAATAAATATGTTATGGTTGTTTTTCAGGCCGTCGGTCGTGCCCGACTCTTTGTGACCCCATGGACTGCATGCAGCACGTCAGGAGGCTTCCCTGTCCTTCACCATCTGCCGGAGCTTGCTCAAACTCATGTCCATTGAGTCAGTGATGCCATCCAACCATCTTGTCCTCTGGCATCCCCTTCTCCTCCTGCCGTCAATCTTTCGCAGCATTGCAGGCTGTTTTACCCTCAATCCCAGTGAGCATTTTATTTCACTCTTCCACCGGAGAGGGGAGTGTATCCTGCAAGCCAGTGTGCAAACTACAGTCTGACAGACTTGAGACCTGAACATAGGGACACTCTCTGAGGAACCCTGAGAACCTGGAGAGCTGACTCTCCCTCTGTGTGCCACAGGTCCCAAAGGCATAAAATGAGGGCAGTAACGGCATCTGCTTCTTGGGTGGTGTCCAGCATCAATTACCCAGCAGGATCTTAGGTTGGCACTTGTCCGTGTCATGTTATTACTGTAGGTGGCTCAGATGGTAAGGAGTCAGCCTGCAGTGCAGGATAGCCAGGTTCAATCGCTGGGTTGGGAAGATCCTCTGGAGAAGGAAATGGCAACCCACTCCATTATTCTTGCCTGGAGAATCCCATGGGCAGAGGAGCCTGGAAGGCTACAGTCCAAGGGGTCTTAAAGAATCAGACTGGTCTGAGCCACTTGCACGTCCGCTTCACGGAATGATTTTCAAGCCAAAACTCACTGTCATAATAAAGTTCTCTTTAAACACACAGGAGTTCCTCAATGATCGGAAGCGAGACAATGGTGACCACTCCGTCCACTATTATTCAATATATCAGCTTATATGATTTTATTGTAATTTTAAGTGTCAATGGGTTCGGTGAAAGTTCTCACAGCGGGCTCTCTGAAGGGCTGAGATGCAGTTTGAATCAGCCAACCGGCACAAGCGGAGGAAAAACAACACAATACCAGCCGCTTCTTGTGGCAGAAAGCTTCCTGTCACTTTATGAAAGCGCGAAGGGCAGAGGAAAAACCGGCCCGGCGACACTGTGGAGCAACACTGCCACCTGCAGGCCACAGAAACCGAAACGCCGCAAGCCCGGAAGAAAAGTCATCGCTCCTGCTGGGTTTTCGCGCAGAGGACTGGACGGCGGGGGTGCGAAAGTTAAGGGAGACGCCCGTAAGGACGAGAGAAAGGAAGGGAATCTCTCGAAGGGGTCCGGCCACACCACCCCTGGACTGCGAGCCGTCCGCGGAACCATAGCAACACGGGCAGGAAGTCAGGGAGTCCGGGAAGATCCCGAGCTTGGTGGGCGGGGCTGCACTCCGATTGGCTGGCTCTGGGCCTGCGCGCAGCTACCCAGTGAGGCCCGTGCCAGTCTCCCGGCCCTGGTCGGCTGGGCGTTTTCTCAGGGACCCTGTTTGGAACTCTCCACTGAAGAACCTGACCGGTGACGTCCGGGTCCTGTCGCCCACTGCCGAAGCCTCCCACGTGCGGGAACGTTGCAAGTCCCCTGTCCATTCTCCCCCCTCCCACCCCCGGCCTGTGAACGCGTTCCTCCCCGTGGTACACTCACTGTTCTCTCAGCCCTCACTCTTCTGATCCGTCCTCAGTGCCCACGAGGCTCACCCGGTCACCCCGGAGACTCTCCGTCCTTAGCGATGCTCCCTTCCTCCCCACCCGAGCATCCCTCTGCCCACGGTCCCGCCCCGGACATCAGGAAAGACCGCGCCCCTCGTGGTGTCCTGTTTCTCGCATTCCTCCCTGTCATCACCCTCGACATCACGTCCTGTCCTCCAGCTCCTTCGCACTAGTGCCAGTGCACTGATACCACAACCTGCTGGAGACCTCCAGCTCACCGACCACGCGTCCTTTCACACCATGCGCCAGGCCCCTCCTCGATCGGCTGAGCCAGGGATGGAAGCTGTCCCCCGCAAAGACACCTCTTGTGCTCCTTGCACCCTCCTGCCTAGCCACTCCCTGCCTGTGTCTGAGCACCTGAGCATCGAGGAGAAAACTTTACAGAAGTGTTTTATCTTAAATCCATGGCCGGAGTAGACCGCTGTTCAGTTTCAGGGCCACCCAGCTACACTCCTACACTACACACTAGGAACCTTCCTCCATGCTAATGACCCCCCGTGGGATTTCTCAAGTTTCCCAGTCCCAATCTGCATGTTCCTGCCCTGGCACTCTGCAGCCCCTCTCCACGCCTGCTCCTGACTGCACCCAGCCCCTCACCTCTGCCTGGGATCCCATGCCTTGCACCTTCTCAGGGACGTTGCACCTGCAGTTATCATTCCGCTCTCCTGAACCAGCACCTGCTCCCTCTACATCGGAGCGTTCCACAGCAAAGGGGGACACCCACCGTCTTCCACCAACCACCCTATTCTGCAGCTACTGGCACATTACCGGTTGCCCTTCAAAGCAAAACCGCTTCAAATTCTGGTGAGATAGTCTCTCCTCAGCCCCCTTCCATGGAGCTTTTGTCCCAGTCACTCCACTGTAACTGGTCTCGTCATGGCCATCATTAATATCCATACTTCCTGATCCCGCAGACACTCTTCAGTGCCCATCTTAGCCAACATCTCAGGCACCGTTGGCATATTTGACTCTTGTGTTCTTTAGCCCTCTGTTTTTTAATATTTCAGGGGCGTGGGGCTTATGTGACAACAGCGTCTCCTAGATGTGCTCGACAAGGTACACATTCTACCCTATGCCCCCTTTGACCTGGATAGTGTATGGGAAGTCTTGGGTCAAATGAAAGACAAGCCAAAGAAAAGAGCGTCCCAGTCACAGCGGGGGAACGGCCCACAGAGGCAGTGGCAGGCAGAGGTGAGAGAGCTCAGACAAGGGAGGTGTGACAAGAAGAGGAGCACCAGGGAAAGGAGGATTCCACCCCATTCACACTTGGGACTCACAGGGGGCACACTGCGCAATGACCCAATGTTGTCTTTGGGCAGAAGGGTGGCTGTAGTTTAGGAATTTCGTTTTCTGGAGCTGATCTTGGTGCCTGCTTTGCTGCAGGTGAGATCCAAGGGAGGGCTCTGCATCACCTGAGGGAGAAATGAGGAAAGGGACTGAATCCAGACGAAGCCTAAGCAGGCAATGGGCTAGGGGACCTTGCGGCTGAGGCTGAGGCTGAGGAGTGGACGTCCGTGCCTGGGGACAGGGTGGACGATCAGACCCAGATTCAGAGGGGTCTGCAGATGCCAGCAGGGTGGCTGAGGCTCACTCAGCCAGGGAGGACCAGGCCCACAGCAAGAGGAGGGAGACAAAAATGCAAGTTTCACCACCCCCACCCATGGGCGGTGCAGGTCAGCATCACCAGGTGGAGCCAGGAGAGGAGAGCACACGCTGCGAGCACACAGCCCTACTTCCAATACGCTGCGTCTTTGATTCCTCTCAAGCCATGCTTCTTGAATGTATAGACACCATTCTGAGTGCAGATGCCCCATACGTTTCGGCCGGTGGGGAATCTGGGGCCCAGCTGAGATGTCCTAGGCTAGGTAGATTTAGTGATAGGAAAAGCCATCAGCATACAGGGGGATAACGGATGAAAACAAGTCAGATGGGTAAAAGCTCTGGGGGGTGACGTGGTCACCCAAGGATCATGTATGGTGTAGAAGAGCACAGGGCAGAGGCTGGAAACCAGAGGGAAACAAAGCCCAAGATTTAGGAGGGGATCAAAGTCAATGGACAGACAAGGAGACTTAGAAGTAATGGTAAGGGGAAAGCCAGGGTGGGCTGCTGTCCAGACTCTGACCAAGGAAAAGTGGTTTTGAAAATGGAATGTGTCTGTGGCCAATACAGCACTGAGTCCATTGGTTTGGCCACTGGAGCTCTTGGGAGACGTTAGCAAGGGGATGTTCTGTGGATGGGCGTGTGGAGGATGAATCGAGAGGTAACCAGGTAAGGATGGTCCTGGTGTCTATACGTTCTCCTCGATGCTCAGGTGCTCAGACACAGGCAGGGAGTGGCTAGGCAGGAGGGTGCAAGGAGCACAAGAGGTGTCTTTGCGGGGGACAGCTTCCATCCCTGGCTCAGCCGATCGAGGAGGGGCCTGGCGCATGGTGTGAAAGGACGCGTGGTCGGTGAGCTGGAGGTCTCCAGCAGGTTGTGGTATCAGTGCACTGGCACTAGTGCGAAGGAGCTGGAGGACAGGACGTGATGTCGAGGGTGATGACAGGGAGGAATGCGAGAAACAGGACACCACGAGGGGCGCGGTCTTTCCTGATGTCCGGGGCGGGACCGTGGGCAGAGGGATGCTCGGGTGGGGAGGAAGGGAGCATCGCTAAGGACGGAGAGTCTCCGGGGTGACCGGGTGAGCCTCGTGGGCACTGAGGACGGATCAGAAGAGTGAGGGCTGAGAGAACAGTGTACCACGGGGAGGAACGCGTTCACAGGCCGGGGGTGGGAGGGGGGAGAATGGACAGGGGACTTGCAACGTTCCCGCACGTGGGAGGCTTCGGCAGTGGGCGACAGGACCCGGACGTCACCGGTCAGGTTCTTCAGTGGAGAGTTCCAAACAGGGTCCCTGAGAAAACGCCCAGCCGACCAGGGCCGGGAGACTGGCACGGGCCTCACTGGGTAGCTGCGCGCAGGCCCAGAGCCAGCCAATCGGAGTGCAGCCCCGCCCACCAAGCTCCGGAT